AGAGGAGGAGAAGAAGAAGAAGAAGAAGAAGAAGAAGAAGAAGAAGAAGAAGAAGAAGAAGAAGAAGAAGAAGAAGAAGAAGAAGAAGAAGAAGAAGAAGAAGAAGAAGAAGAAGAAGAAAAAGAAGAAGAAGGTGCCATCAAGTTGGGTACTCAGAGAAATGGAGATGGATCTGGGAGAGGTGAGCAGATGGGGTGAATATGATCAAAATGCATTGTTTTTCATTTAAAGACATTAAGATAATAAATTAAAATGTACTTATAAAATTTTACAATAATAAATATCTTACTCCTCTGTCTGAAAAAAAGTACTACTATGAGAAGGCAGGGAATTCTGGTCTTGAATTTCAGTTCTATCTTGATTTATTTTAATACTATTAGTTAGATGTTTTAATGCATTTGACATTTGTGTGAATTTACTTAGGTCTCTATTAAGAAAAAGAGATCGAGCTATATATTCTCCTCTGCTCCCATCCCTGCCTCTCCCCTCCCCTTCTTCCCTCTCCCATGGTCCCCATGCTGCCAATTTACTCAGGAGATCTTGTCTTTCTCTACCTCCCATGTAGATCAGATCTATGTATGTTTCTCTTAGGATCCTCTTTGTTGTCTAGGTTCCCTGGGATTGTGATTTGTGGGCTGTTTTTTTTTTTGTTGTTGTTGCTTTACATCTAAAAGCCACTTATGAGTGAGTACATGCGATGATTGTCTTTCTGGGTCTGGGTTACCTCACTAAATATGATGTTTTCTACATCCATCCATTTGCCCGCAAATTTCAAGATGTCATTTTTTTCTGCTGTGTAGTACTTCATTGTGTAAGCACACCACATTTTTCTTATCCATTCTTTGGTGGAGGGGTACTTAGGTTGTTTCCAGGTTCTGGCTATGACAAATAATGCTGCTATGAACATAGTTGAGCACATGTCCTTGTGGTATGATTGAGCATCCTTTGGGTATATACCCAAAAGTGGTATGGGTCTTGAAGCAGGGTGTTTCCTAATTTTCTGAGAAATCACCATACCGAAATCCAAAGCAGCTATACCAGTTTGCATTTCCACCAGCAATGCAGGAGTGTTCTCTTTATCCCACAACCTCTCTAGCAGAAGTTGTCATCAGTGTTTTTGATCTTGGTCATTCTTATAGGTGTAAGATGGAATCTCAGAGTTGTTTTGATTTGTATTTCTCTGATGACTAAGGATGTTGAACATTTCCTTAAGTGTCTTTCATCCATTTTAGATTCCTCTATTAGAGTTTTCTGTTTAGGTCAATATCCCATTTTTATTGGATTATTTGCTGTTTTGATGACCAATTTCTTGAATTCCTTGTATATTTTGGAGATCAGTCCTCTGTCTGATGTGGGGTTGGTGGAGATCTTTTCCTATTCTATAGGCTGCTGTTTTGTCTTGTTGACCATGTCCTTTGCTTTATAGAAGCTTCTCAGTTTTAGGAGGTCCCATTTATTAATAGTTTCTCTCAATGTCTGTGTTATTGAGGTTATATTTAGGAAGTCCTGGTCCTGTGCGAATGCGTTCAAGTGTACTTCCCAATTTCTCTTCTATGAGGTTCAGTGTGGTTGGTTTTATGTTGAGTTTTGTGCATGGCAATAGATACGGATTTATTTCATTCTTATACATGTTGATATCCAGTTATGCCATTTGTTGAATATATTTTCTTTTTCCCATTTTATATTTTTTGCTTCTCTGTCAAAAATCAAGTGTTTGTAGGTGCGTGAATTGATATCTGGGTCTTTGATTTGGTTTCATTGGTCCTCCTGTCTGTTTTTATGCCAATATCAGGCTGTTTTCAGTATTGTAGCTCTGTAGTAGAGTTTGAAGTCAGGGATTGTGATGCTTCCAGAAGTTCTTTTATTGTACAGGATTGTTTTGGCTATCCTGGGATTTTTGTTTTTACTATGAAGTTGAGTATTGTTCTTTCAAAGTCTGTGAAGAATTTTGCTGGGATTTTGATAGGCATTGCATTGAATCTGTAGATTGCTTTTGGTAAGACTGCCATTTTTACTATGTTAATTCTATCGACCCAAGAGCATGGGACATCTTTCCATTTTCTGGTGTCTTCTTTAATTTCTTTCTTCAAAGATTTAAAGTTTTTGTCATACAGGTCTTCCACTTGTTTGGTTAGAGTTACTCCAAGATATTTTGTTATTTGTGGCTATTGTGAAGGGCGATGTTTCTCTGATTTCTTTCTCAGCCCATTTATCATCTGTGTAAAGGAGGGCTACTGATGTTTTCAAGTTAATCTTGTATCCTGCTACATTACTGAAGGTGTTTATGAGTTGTAGAAGTCACACTCACTAATTTGGTGAAGTCATGGTTAATATGTCTCTAAATGTTCTATTATAACTAAATTGCATTTATATTTTTCTGGTATAATATTTGTTTTTGTTCATGCCATTGTCTGCCTCTGAATCAGATCACTGACAGTCTAGCCTATTTACGTAAGCTTATTTCATTGTCTGTTTTATATTAAATTATATCAAAATTTAAAATCTATACTTATTATTTATTTTACCTCTTTTTTGTTACTGTTATTTCCCAGTCTATTGCTAAGCCTAGAAATGGTTCTGTGGCAGCTTTCTGTGCATTCACACAGCTGTGCAGCCGTGACCATGCTTCATCACAAATCATGCCATGAATCCCAACAGGAGCTCAGTCTGCAAGCACTGACTTATTTCCTCTCCTTCTAGCCCTGGGAAGCCGGTGTTCTGCGTTTGCCTCTATAACATCTCCTGCTGGAGTTAACGTGTACCAGCAGAGGCGTGTGCTGTTGTCTCTTGTGACTGTCTTCTTCGACTTTGCACATCGTTTTCAAGTCTTGCCTGTTTAGTGGCAGGTGCCACTCATTTTGAAGTTTTCCTCCCATATTTTGTCCATCTTTATTCAGTTCATATTCATTCCATTTTTTCTTCCTTTTGTCTGTCATAAACAGTGCTGTTATGAGCACGGATGAATTCAGAGCCGCTCAAGTCCCTTCTTCGGGGGAACGTGCTCAGCTGTCTAACGCTGAACGGTGCAGCAACTCCAAGTGTGAGTTTTTGCGGCTCCACGGCGCTGTTTTCCACAGCAGCTGCATCTGTTAGCAGCCTTTCTAGCTGTGCTCAGGAATTCCAGTTTTGCTACATCCCTGCCTGTCACTTGTTACATTCAGTGTTTTGGTCTCTCTGTGCATGCCTGTGAGTGTATGCTTGTGTGTGCTGTGTGTATCTGTGTTTGTGTGCCTATGTGTGGAAGCCTATGTGTGTGTGTGTATTTGTGTGTGTGTGTGTATGCACATGTGTTACTAATAGTAAAAAGATATATGAGTGGCAATATTTTCTCTGAATCTGCAGCTTGATCTTGTTCATTGTTAGCATTGTTCTTTGATGCACAGACCTTTTAAATTCTCATTAAGTCCAGTTGTCCTGTGTTATCCTTTATTGCCCATGATTTTCATGTCATTTCTGCTGTTTTGTCCCCACATGTTCATGTAGTAACTGGAGGCTGCACTTTCTTTTCCCAGCCTCCCAGCCCTGAGTAATCACACAGAAATTTATATTAAGTACAAAATGTTTGGCCTATTAGCCCAGGCTTATTTTAACAAGTTTTTATAACTTAAGTCAACCCATTTCTATTATTCTATATTTTACCATGAGTTCATGGCTTGTTACCTCACATCTTGCTTCTCTCTTGTGACAGACAGGTATATTCGCTACTATATTAATGAGGCCATCTTTGGTGGAATCTTCCTGGCCTCGGTCCTAGCTGGGGCAGCCTTCACACTGGGAAGGAGGACATGCATTGCCCGTGGCCAATCCAAGCACTAGGATGTGAAGAAAAGCCCACTCAGACGTCATGTGCTTCACATTTGGTCCCCAGTATGATGTTGAGAAGTGGTGGGGCACCGTGGCCCTGTGATTGGGCACACGATTGTGACTCTTTACCCTGTGACTGTCCCTTGATATCAGTGACATCTGACTTCACAGGCTCACCTTGGACAGGGTCTGCCTAGCGTCTCAGACTTTTCTGACATACTGGGACAAGCTAAGATTTTGGGACTGCTGGGTGTGGGATGACTATATCTTGCCTTGTGAGAAGAAGAACGTGAACTTTTGGAGCTGCTGCTGCAGCACTGAGGCTTGGTTATGCTTTAATTACTTCCTCCAAAATTTCATGCATTGGATTCTTCGCTCCTGCTGTTGTGATGCTGAAAAGCCTTTAGGATATGGGGTATAATGGAAAGCAAGTAGGTCTCAAGGGTTCTTCCCTCAAGTTGTTAATGCATACCCCTCCAGAGTGTGCTCTGTGCCTGACGCTTCCCTTGAATTCTTTTCTTGCCATCAAGATTTCTGTACTCATGGGGTATGCTGGACAGTTTTATGTCAACTTGACACAAACTAAATTGAAGGAAGGGAATCTTAGCTGAGGAAATACCCCTAAGATTGGGCTGTGGGAAAGCCTGTAGAGCATTGATTAATTGGTAACTGATGGGAGAGGGCCCAGCCCATTGTGGGTGGTGCCATTCCTGGGCTGGTGGTTCTGAGTTCTGCATCCTTAATAATCAGAGAAATGCAAACCAAAACAACTCTGAAATTCCATCTTACACCTGTAAGAATGACCAAGATTAAAAACACTGATGACAACTTATGCTGGAGAGGATGTGGGGTAAAGGGAACACTTCTGCATTGCTGGTTGGAGTGCAAACTGGTACAGCCGCTTTGGATATCAGTGTGGTGATTTCTCAGAAAATTAGGAAACAACCTTCCTCAAGACCCAACAATATCATTTTTGGGTATATATCCAAAGGATGCTCAATCGTGCCACAAGGACATGTGCTCAACTATGTTCATAGCAGCATTGTTTGTCATAGCCAGAACCTGGAAACAACCTAAATGCCCCTCGACAGAAGAATGGATAAGAAAAATGTGGTACATTTACACAATGGAGTACTACACAGCAGAAAAAAATAATGACAGCTCGAATTTTGCAGGAAAATGGATGGAAGTAGAAAGCATTATTTTGAGTGAGATAACCCAGACCCAGAAAGACAATTATCACATGTACTCACTCATAGGTGGTTTTTAAACATAAAGCAAAGAAAGCCAGCTTTGTAGAATCACAATCCCAGAGAACTTAGACAACAATGAGGACACTGAGAGAGACATACTTAGATCTAATCTACATGGGAAGTAGAAAGTAGAAAAAGACAGGATCTCCTGAGTAAATTGGGAGCATGGGGACCTTGGGGGAGCGTTGAAAGGAGGAGGGGAGAGGCAGGGAGGGGAGCAGAGTAAAGTGTAGAGCTCAATAAAAATCAATAATAATAATGATGATGATGATGATGATGATGATGATAAAAGCAGGCTGAAGAAGCCAGTAAGCAGCAGCCCTCTAAAGCTTCCACACCAGCTTCTGACTCTAGGTTCCTGCTCTCTTTGGGTTCCTGCTCCGACTTCCTTTGATGAATACTGCATGGACGTGCAAGCTGAACGAACCCTTTCCTCCCTAAGTTTCTTTGGCCACAGTGTTTCACCACAGCTATAGCAACCCTGAGATGTGGCTCCGCCATGAGGCCCTTGTGAGAGCCCAGCAGATGCTAGCATCATGCTCTGGGGTGTCTAGACAAGTGAGATGAAACCTCCCACCTTTACAAACTGTCCATCCTTAGCTGCTGTTGTCTGGCAACACGAAACAGTCTAGGAGACCCCGTGCTGGGCACTGCTAAATCCTACATGACGATGCTTTTGCTCTCAGTTTTTTTGAAGTACTTTCAGTTTGGGCCCTTGTATTTAGGACTTTGATCCATTTTGAATTAAATTATGTAAAAGGCACTGGGTGCAATTCACCCCTTTGCATGTGGATACACAGCTTCCCCAGCACATTGGGCTGAAAGATTCTTGTCCGCATTGAGTGGGTTCGGCTCATTTCCAGGAATCATTTGTACATGCACCAGAGGGCTCATGTCTGGGTTCTCTGCACCGCACTCTCATCACCACACGGTGAAGGTATTAAGTTTCAAAGTCAGAAAGCAAACACCCTCAAGTTTTTTGTCACTATGACGGGCTGTCTAATGTTTCTTGTTGTGTTCTGTGTTTTACACATTTGTTCCCTTCCGGATGCTTCATCACGTGACTGGGCCATGAGAGCCCTGAGCCCATTCAGTGCCGAATTAACGCCATCTCTTCACCTAGCCCCTGGGAATTTAACCTCTGCCTAATTTACCACCCCACATACCAGCCATTCTTGAAGTCTCTCTAGACGTAGAGAAAAGTCACTGAGTGTCAGGATCGCAAGCCTGGGTATTAGCATCCTGTGGTTCTACATGGTCCATTTGATAATCTCTCCCACAGTTCAGAGAGTTTCCCTGTGGGGCCAGCAGGGCCTGAGGATCTAGGGGGCATGCGTCTATTCATAAAGCTGAAAAGAGAATGCGCACACAGGACAGACGCAATGGGAATGGGTGTGGAGGCGGTGCGTGGGCAGCTCTATGACGCAGAGGAAAACATGAGTGTGATAGGACAGCTGGGATACCCATGGTCACTGATGTCACGAACATGACATTAGAGTCAAATGCGGGACATGAGGCCAAACAAAGCTTTCAGTAGTGCGGACTTGTCCTTCTTCGTGAAAGGCAGCACTGGGTGTCTCTCCTTACTGCTCCTTTTAGACGCTTGGGTAAGTGGGGATGTGTGGGATGGGAGACTGCCTGCAGAGCAGTGAGCTGGAGGTACAGGGCAAAGACCAATGGTCCCCGTGAAAAGGTAGGCAAACATTGGGGGGACTTTGGACCTTAACAGTGGCAAAGGGGAAACGATAGGAGCAGTGTCTGTGTGTGGCAAACTTTCCTTGATGTGTTTGTAAAAGAAGAATGTGAAGTAGGGTGGGTGGAGAAGTGGGGAGAAGTGGGGAGGAGCTGGGGGAGGGGAGAGAATATGACTAAAACAACATGAAAAAATTTTAGAGAGAACACTAAGTGGACTCGCTCATAAGTGCATATCAGGAGTAAAATACAGGATAAGCCCCAGAGAGGCTTGACAACAAAGGGGGCTCAAAGAGGGATGCATGGATTCCCCTGGGAAGATCTCCTGGGTAAACTGGGGGTGGGGTTGCTGGGAACCCGAGCGAGAAGTTTGGGGGCACAATGGAGGGGGAGAGTAACAAAGGAGACATTTTGTTGGGGGGCATGTTGGGGTTAGGGAGAAAGCTGGTGCTACGGAGACTCCCAGGAATCCATAAGGATGACCTCAGCTAAGACTCCTAGCAATAGTGGAGAGGGTGCCTGAACCAGCCTTCTCCTATAATCAGATTGACGACTACCCTAATTGTCATCACAGAGCCTTAATCCAGTCCTGATGGAAGCAGATGCAGAGATCAAGGAGGGACTGTATGAGTCGGAGGGGGGTGGGGTCAAAGTCACAAAGGAGGAACCCACAGACACAGCTGACCTGAGCTCGTGGGAGCACATGGACTCTGGACCAACAGTTAGGGAGCCTGCATGCCACTGACCTAGGCCTCTGCATGTGTGTGTCAGTTGCGTAGCTTGGTCTGTTTGGAAGGTTCCTAGGAGTGTGATAAGGAGCTGTCTCTGGCACTTAGCTGCCTTTTGGGAACCTGTTCCCCATGCTTGATAACCTCAGCCAGCCTTGATGCAAGAGGATGGGCTTGGTCCTACCTTAACTTGATGCTGATGCACTGGCTTTGTTCAAGCCCATGGGAGGCCTGCCCCTTTCTGAATGGAGACTGAGGAGTGAATGGGGAGGGGGTAGATGGGAGTCAGGAGAGGGAACAGGAGGAAAGGAGGGAGGGGAAACTGTGGTCGGCGTGTAGAATAAAGGAAAAATGTAATAACAAAAAATTTTTAAAAAGAGAGTACACAAAGTTGGGTGGATATGGAAGGGGATAGATCTTGGAGGAGTTGGGGGCGTGGGCTGAATGTGATCAAAATACATTATGAAGCCAGGTGGTGGTGGCGCATGCCTTTAATCCCGGCACTCGGGAAGCAGAGGCAGGCTGATCTCTGTGAGTTCGAGGCCAGCCTGGTCTACAAGAGCTAGTTCCAGGACAGGAACCAAAAGCTACGGAGAAACCCTGTCTTGAAAAATCCAAAAAATAAAAAAATTACAAAAATGCTGCTATAAACATAGTAGAGCATATACTTTTGTTGTATGATAAGGCCTCTCTTGGGTATATTCCCAAGAGTGGTATTGCTGGGTCCATGGGTAGGGTAGGTTGATCCTGAATTTCCTGAGAAACCTCCACACTGCTTTCCAGAGTGGTTGCACACGTTTGCATTCCCACCAGCAATGGATAAGTGTACCCCTTTCTCCACAACCTCTCCAGCAAAGGCTATCATTGGTGTTTTTTATTTTCGCCATTCTGACAGGTGTAAGATGGTATCTTAAAGTTGTCTTGATTTGCATTTCCCTGATCACTAAGGAAGTTGAGCATGCCCTTAGGTGTCTTTTGGCCATTTGAACTTCTGTTGAGAGATCTCTGTTCAGCTCAGTGCCCCATTTTATAATTGGGTTGATTAGCCTTTTATGGTCTATTTCTTGAGTTCTTTATATATTTTGGAGATCAGACTTTTGTCAGTTGCGGGGTTGGTGAAGATCTTCTCCCAGTCAGTGGGTTGCCTTTCTGTCTTAGCAACAGTGTCCCTTGCTTTACAGAAGCTTCTCAGTCTCATGAGGACTACTGAGACCTCAAGAACAATGGCAATGGGTTTTAGATCCTACTGCACCTATTGGCTTTGTAGGAGCCTAGGCAGTTTGGATGCTCACCTTACTAGACCTGGATGGAGGAGGGTGGTCCTTGGACTTCCCACAGGGCAGAGAACCCTGATTGCTCTTTGGGCTGACAAGGGAGGGGGACTTGATTGGGGGAGGGGAAGGGAAATGGGAGGTGGCGGTGGGGAAGAGACAGAAATCTTAAATAAATAAATAAATAAATAAATAAATAAGAATTAAAAAATTATGAAATTCTCAAAGAATTGCTAAAAAATGAGGGGAAAGAAGCAGTAATGTCTTCGGGGCAATGTATAACAGTCTTAGTCGTGTGGGTGTGGGCTGTAGGAGAATAAGAATGACTGTCACAGGTTCTCCCCAAAACACTGCCCATTGCCAAGATGTGAGAGACTATGGGGGAAATGTTCTTTAAAGGTTTATTCTATTATTTTTTTTAGTATCTTTAAATGGCTCTCTCTCTCTCTCTCTCTCTCTCTCTGTGTGTGTGTGTGTGTGTGTGTGTGTGTGTGTGTACCATGTGCCTGCAGAGTCCAGAGGCATTGGGTCCCCTAGATTTACAGGCGGTTGTATAGTGCCCATGTGCAGTATGTGCTATTAACTGCGGAGCCATCTCTCCGACCACAGGAACAAAGATGTGTTATGGGGCTCACCAAGAATCTCACTTGTAGCATGTTAAGTTTGCTAGGCTTATTAGAGATCAAGTTGAGATGTTGGGAAGACAGGTGGACACATTAGCTTGCAGTGCAGAATCATTTGCCATCCCATGTTTTTTTTTTTCTTTGTCACACAAATTAAAATTAACAAAGATTCAAGGTTGGACAATGGCCTGAACCAGTAAAAGTTAGAGAGGACTGCCAAGCAACTGTCTGCTCAAGATGACAACAACAACAGCAGCAGCAGCAGCAACAACAACAACAACAACAAGATGGCTCCAGCTCCGCCTTCACCTTTCATGGCTGAGCTGTCTTGGCAGTTTGACTCCTCTGCTGAAAGCCTGGCTGCTCTGATTGGCTGAGACTCAGGTTCTTACCACAAGGCTGCACTTGCAACTCAGGTGAGGGGTCGCCTGTATCGTAAGCTACAGTGTGCCGTAGACAGACGCAGCTTTAGGACAACATATAATTTACTTTACAAGTCTGTAAATATGAATCCAGGAGTTGGCAACAAACTTCAACAGGAACAACTCTGTCTGCCTTGTGCACACAACAGTGACATTATCAGAGGGCCGGCGGGGAGGCCGTCTCTAAATATTTGTTGGGTGACTCAATAAATGGCATGCACGATTTTTTCTAGCTGTGTGATTTGAGCCTGATGTACTTAACAGTTTGTGTAATGGCCAGTGTGAAATAGCTGGGTGGTAACTCACTTTGGTGGTGCTCTTCAGCCCATATTGGGAAAGCATCCCCATCAAGACTGAGAAAGAGCTTGGGACTTTTCTAGTTCTTGCACCATTCTTGGCTGAGACTTACAATGGGAGGAACTTTATGAGCCACAGGGTTGGTGTTAATGTAGAATCTCAAGACAAATGACCTCAGCAACCCTCACCCCTTTTCCATTAGCAGCCCCAGATTCCACTGGGGGATCAACTTTTTCCTTTCTGTCAGGCTTAAGCATCCTGACGGGACAATGTCTTCAGAGCCGGGAATAAAGCACATGACGTAAACTTACCTTAAACTGCGGATCATATGTCTAGGCATGCTGTTCCAGGCATGGGCCTTTGGAGGAGTTGGTCACATCAGCAAGCATAGGGCTTCTGGGTCGCAATGTCAGAAAAGGCTTTGCCTGCCGAACTTGAAACCTGAAGGCTGCAAAGCAGGGGCTATGGCTGCTGTTTGCTAACCTCCATCCACTACCTTCCCAGCCTCTCACCCTGCCTGGAGCTGCCAAAGATCACCTTGAGCTCGAGGATGAGGACCATGTGCTGGAGCCAGACCCCAGAGGCGGGGAGACTTTCCCCGCTAAGGATGCCTGAGTTCTGAGCTCAGCCATGCCCGAACACCCCTGCTGTTGAACAACTCCTGCTTCCTACATAAACTGCTAGGATGCAGTATGCACAGCAACTGATGTCTGACTGATTCTCTCTGAACCTCTAAGTCCTGGCACTAAGGGGCAGCACCTAAGGTCTCCCGAACAAGGCTGCTCATTCTTGGAGATTCCAAATGTACTCCAACTGAGCTGTGAAGAGATACCACGTGCCTGAGGACAGGCAAGCAAAAAAGAATTCACATATGTGCAGACAACTCTTGTTGGTCAAGGTTGTGTTCCTTAGGAAGCTGTGCATGGACCAGACTCTGCAAATGCCCTTATAGAATGCCTATTTATATACATATAAATGCATATCTATTACATTACAACATTGTTATGTAAGTTCTTTTACAATACAAAAAATATAACTATGTGATACACGGGCAACTAGATGTAGAATGATCCCTTTTTTTCTTTTCAAGAGGCCTTGACTCATATTTTCCAGTAAAGCAAAGAGGCTGAGTATCCACAGAGACAAGTTGACTTCTCAGTTTGCCTAGAAAGGTATTCCCCCAATACTTATAAAGCACAAAGAGGGAGTTAAAGATTAGTTCCCTTGTTGGCCCTACCAAATGGAAGATACTATATTCCATTTTAGCAGGAGCAGGATATGGAAATCGTCAAAATTGTTATTACAAAAATGAAACAGTAATAAGATTCCAGCTAAAAGGACACTAAATAAGAATATGTGAATATATATATGTACTTAAAGAATCCAAAACAAAGACTATTATAAAAAAGCTACACGTGCACCATAAGCATGTAGGTTTTCCTTCTCATGTATACTTTTGGACAATGGGATGGATTGTCAAACAAACGGTCCACTGTGTCAGGTCACACACGTCAGTGTGTCAGGTCACACACGTCACTGTGTCAGGTCACACACGTCAGTGTGTCAGGTCATACATCAGTGTGTCAGGTCACACACATCAGTGTGTGAGGTCACACGCATCAGTGCGTCAGGTCACATATCTCTGTGTAAGGTCACGCCCTTCCCCAACCTCTTCAGATTCTTCACTGAGCTCAGCACCTGCCGCCTTGCTCCCGCCGACCTGTCTCATGCATGCTGGCTACACTTCTGGGGGCTCTATGCCTTAGACAAAAGTCCCGGTGGGAACAACTGCTTGAGGCCGCAAAAGTCTACTTGAATGGCAGTTCCAGAGCAACACGTCTGAAGTCCGACCCCATTCTCATCTCCCTACTTTGCACTTTGCCGTTGCCAAGAGAGAAAAGGAACGTTTCTGTACTTACATGGTTCATAAATGAAAGTTAAACGCAGAGCTATGTGTGTCGCGTGCTATTTGTTAAAAATCTGTGGGGGCGGGGGCAGAGGTAATTGCTGATAAAGGTGTGTCAAAGCGAAAGCAAACAAACAAGCAAACAGACGCAGCACCATAATGAAAGCGATAAATCAATTCCTTATAAACAGGAAAGATACAGGAAAAGACAATCTCAGGACTGGGGATGTAGGTATCTCAGCCAGTGGAGTGCTTGCTCAGCGCACAGGCGCTGTCCCCATCACCACACACAGTACGGTGGTGCAGGCCTGTAATCCCAGCACATGGGAGATGGAAGCAGAAGGACCGGAAATTCTAGGCTACCCTCAGCTATGCAATTCACAACCAACATAGGATACATACGACCCTGGATTTACTTTTTAAAATAAAATAAATTTGGTAGAAAGTGATTATTATAAGGAAGAATGCAGCCTGCTAAATCATGGATCCAAATGCGCAACCTTGGTGGCGGCTTTCCAAGACAGCATAGCGAGAGAGAGCGAGAGCGAGATGTAGTACAAGCGCCACCTACTGGCGAGAATGGAAGAGCGCGCTTCCCTTTGTGGAGTCCCCTGATAAAAAACAGGAGAAAATAAAGCCTGTCCCCCGCCCAATGTGATTTTTTTTTTTAATTCCACTGTTCCCCACATTGGTCGATCCTTTGTGAATGAATTTGTGTTACAAAACCATATTGCAGCCCATCAGTTTGTGTGTTCTCTGTAATCTATGTGAATCCCCACATAAAAAACACCATATACATTTACTGGTTTCTGCATGCATAGGCCAGTTTGAGAAGGAACCCCCTAAGCTAGCAATAGTAATTGTTTCGGGAGAGAACAGGCCGGAAAGATGAAGCTGGTTAGTGAGAATTTTTGCTGTGTACTTATTTGCATGTTTTGACCATTCCGTAGTTTAAAAAGGTAACTTAAGTCATTAAAGAAAAAGTTCAAATCGGAGGAAGAATTCTCTTTGATCTGACCTATTATCTCTAAGCAAACCAGTTTGACTCTGTCGCTACACCTGCTTTGGTTATTTTATTTCTTTAGGAACTTGATATTCCCATCCACCCACAATCAGCCATGGGTGCCCGGGCTAGGGTGAAGGGCTAAAAGTAAAGAAACTCAAAGCAAAGTGCAAAGAAAGAGTACAGTACGTCCTTATCACTGTAGAGTAAACACGGGCAATCTCTTTACTTTTAAAGTATCAGCAAAGGCTCTGTCTGGGACTCGATGCAATATGGCTGCCTCTGCACGGAAGGGTATAAATATTTAAACCCAGGGTGAATTTGATCAGAGAGCTCTCTCTCAAGCCTGCCAAGGGATGCAGTTCTCAGTGGAGCCTGCATTAAAGGGCCCTTCCTTTTCTTACCCCTCCCTACTCATTTGGGCCAGCAGGAGATGGCATGACCTTCAAAAACTTTCAAGTTATCATTCGATGCTTTAGAAGCTGAGACTGGCCATTTGCTGTCTTTGGATGTTCTTTAAGTTGTGGGATATTTTTATGTTTTAAATTTTCTTTTTTTAAATTCATTTTTTTTGTTTTCAACTTTATGTCTTTGGCATATGAAAACTGTGTATTCTTTTTTCAAAAAATGTATGGCTTCATATCTTGGTGAAGAAAGTGTGCCCAGTTCTTGGATTCTAGATATAGTTTGCTATATTTTTTCTTAATAGTTTCATTACCTAATTTCTTTTATATAGATCTGAATCTAAATCCCTCCTATGGGACTGTTTTTTGTTTGTTTGTTTATTTATTTATTTATTATGTATACAGCATTCCTTCCATGTATGTCTGCAGGCCAGAAGAGGGCACCAGACCCCATTACAGATGGTTGTGAGCCACCATATGGTTGCTAGGAATTGAATTCAGGACCTTTGGAAGACCAATCAGTGCTCTTAACCTCTGAGCCATCTCTCCAGCCCCTTGTTGTTGGTTTTTGTCTTTTGAGACAGGGCCTTTCTCTGCCACCCAGCCTAGCAGTTTATGATCCCCCTTCCCCAGCCTTCCATGTTTTGGATGACAGATTTGCTGGTAACAGTAATGGAGAGTCAGGTGAGAATTTGAGCTGTCAGCTTCCAGGTGGTGGTGAACAGGCACAAAGCCAAAACGGCGACAAGGACAGGACTTGCAGACACCAAGATGAAGCAAAGTTTCTCATTGAGATCTCCTGTGCAAGTTTCAGAGTAAATGGCGAAGAAACAGTTCTAAAATCAAGGGAGTAGAGCAATCCCCAATAAAAACAAAACTCCACCAACAACACGTATCATTAGGAATTGTAAAACACAGCTATGAAAATGAGGAAAAAGAGGACCAAGTCTTAGTTTCTTAGCAAAGAGCGGGCAGTTCTATCATCAAATATAAAAAAGACCAATCACTAGTTGTGTATATTATTCCTGCATGTATGTCTCTGCACCATGTGCATGCAGTGCCCTCAGAGGCCAGAAGAGGGCGTCAGACCTTTTGGAATTAGAGTTACGATTGTGAGTCATGCTGGGAATTGAACCCAGGCCCGCAGGGAAGAATGGGTGGTGGTACATACTCTTAATCCCAGCACTTGGGTGGACCTCTGTGAGTTTAAGGCCAGCCCAGTCTACAGAACTATTCCAGGACAGCTAGGGCTGCTACACAGAGAAGCCCTGTCTCGGAAAAAACAACAACAACAACGAATGTTTTATTTATTTATGTGTATGCGCATAATGCTGCATGTCTATAGTACCCACAGGGGCCAGGAGAGGGTGTAGGATCTCCAAGGAGCTGGAGTCAAAAGATACTGAGCGACCCATGTGGGTTCTAGGAACCAAACTTAGATCCTCTGCAAAAGCAGTTTGTCCTAACCACTGAGCACTCTCTCCAGCCCTGTCTTAGTAAGGGTCACTATTGCTGTGATCAAACACAGGAGGAAAGGGTTGGTTTCGCTTACGTTTCATCTAACTGTTCACTGTCAAAAGCGGTGAGGGCAGGAACCTGGAAGCAGAAGCTGATGCAGAGGCCATGGAGGGATGCTGCTTATTGGCTTGCTCAGTCTGCTGTCTTATAGAACCCAGGACCACCAGTCTAATCACTAATTAAGAACATTAAGGCTTGCCTATAGCCAAAATTATGGAGGCATTTTCTCAGCTGAGGCGCCCTTCTCTCCAATGGCTCTAGCTTGTTTCAAGTTGACATAAAACTAGCCAGCACAAGCCTAACATCTCACCACTTCTGAAGCTGTGTTTACTACAAAGCTACTACTACATTTGCCTGAGGCTGACGTGTAAATCTTCCTTGCAAGGCCAAGCCTCCTGTCCCTCCCACCTAGCATGGTTTAGAATTTATTTCAAGTCCTTTATTTTCTAAACAATTTGGCATTGCATTTCTTTCTGGCCCTTTTAGGAATAATATTACTAAAAATATGGATTGAAAGGGCCCTTTTCAGTTAAATGCATTCCTAAGGAGTTTTGTCGTCAGTGAAGCTTCCCCTTCGTGTCTAACAGTCACTTCAACTTTGCTCAGCGATTATTTTGAATTACATAGGGTTCCCCCCATCTTGAATATCGTCTGCTTCTCTTTATCACTTAAAAGTGTATAATTCTTTTCTCTGGAATGGATTTAATACTGAATAAAGTAGAAGTAACTTATTTTTTTTAAAGGTGTTGTCAATACCTGGGACACAGCTCAGTTGCAGAGGATGTAACTAACATGGGCAAGGACCTGTGCATGATTCTCCAGCCCCGAAAACAGAAAGATCTGTGAACCCAGAGTATCCAGTTCCACCCACAGAAACCCCAGATTGCAAGTGCAAGTCTATGTAAGGCATCAGTTGTGAAAGAATGAATGTTAGTATGGTAGAGACTGCTTCTATGCAGGAGCGTGGGATGTCTCTGGTTTGAACTGACTTTGTTTCATGGTTTTCAACAGGGCTGCATTTTTTTATAACTCATTTATTGACTGTGCCCTGTCCAAGTTCCTCTTGGGTTGCCTCAGATTTCCGCTGGTAGCCACGCCCCTCCCCCACCCACCAGGGTGGAATCCCTGCCCATCCATTGTAGTCACTGGGCCATTGCTTTTCTTTAGGTGTTAGTGCCATAGCTATAGAGTTTAAACTGTTTACATCATTAACCCTGGCAAAGTGAGAAGGGCTTCTGCTCTTTTGGGAGGAGAATGGCTCTTCCCCCGCTCACTTGGCATACATGGAATTTACCCACATGGGTGCAGCTTATTCGTGTTATGGCTGCGCATCACTGCTCTGGACAGGCATGCTAACAGCTTCGACTGTTGTTGGTGAATATTTCGGTTGTTTCCCAGTGTTCGAGTTGTCTTCTAAAAACGCTCTCATATGGGCTGATAGGGGCTTCTCCAAAGCACCGTTCTTTACAGCTTTTGTTTGTTTAGTAAAAGAATTTTTAAAGCTAATTTTTCATAAATGTTAATATATATTAGCATTGAAAACAGTTTCAGTGATCAGAAGTCTTTAACTGTGAAATTTCCTCATAGTATTAGTTAGTTCCCAATTGACCAAAATGACAAAAACACATGAGAACATTTGTAAAATAGTTCATCAGAAACTTTCAAGTTTGGGAAATGCACCTATCAATGGCTGAAGGCAACTTCACATAGATATGATGTCATACTGTTCTAGAATGAGACAATGCTTGGCATTAAAGCTATTCCTGTTTTTTCTTCTTGGTTTGGCCAATGCTGGCATGGAGCAATTTTTTCCACATAAATAAATCAGCAGGAATGGGAACACTCTTTCTATGGTGATGCCAGCCAGTTCTTTGTGCTCCTTTAAGATAAACGCCCCAGATGGTATGGAGGTCTAGCGTCAGTTTTTAATGGTCCATTAGTGGATACACCTGACTTCCTTTTGTTGAAAAAAGGATGGTAGAAACTGCTTGGCTTGCAGAAGGATTCCCTAGCCAGCCATTAGAGCCTGTCTGCTTCTCAGTATCTGGATGTGTACCCAAACTGTTATCAAATGACTATAAATTCAGCCCTGACTTGAGAAGCATTCTGCTTAAGCTAATACATCTAAAATGTTTGGGAAACTTGAAATGTGAGTTTTAATAGCTTAATAGTTACTGTGAATCTATTTAGAAAATGTCCTGG